TCTTATGTGCTGTTACATTGACATTCGCTTGCCCAAGTTTAGTTATTTGAAGTAAAGAAGCAGACTGGGTGGCTGAGATTGTATCAATAAGGAAGTCTCCGGAGCGGAGACGCTTTATATTTCTCGGCTCACCAATACAAGACTGGATGTATTTGTTAATCACGAAAGGAGACATCTTATGCATTTCGCCAGAAGGACTAGAGATGACTAGGAAACGGGGACTATTGTTATGATTTTTTTTATTTGCATCTGTCCGTAATTTTTTTGCAGAATTTTCAGAACTAGATTGAGTGACTGGTTTAGTAGTAGACTTTTCAGAACTAGGTTGAATGATTGGTTTATTAGTAGGTGGTTCAGAGCTAGGTTGAGTGACTGGTTTAGTAGTGGACGTTTCAGAACTAGGTTGAGAGACTGGAGTGACTTCGAAGTCTTTGATCAGAAAAATTTGAGAATTAGCCATATTGAAATAAGAAAAGATTCGGGTCCGACGGCCCCGCCCACCACGGAGCCCAACAAGGGAATACAGATTCCTGTGTTAGGGCTAGCCGGACCTATACGCAAACTGAAGCCCCACAGTCGGCTTTCCCGAAAGCAGGTACTCCCGAGAGCTTGACCCCAAGCCACTGACACAAGGACTAGTGACCAGCCGATTGACACCCGTGAGGACGACTAAGGTGCCTCCCGTTTAGCTGAAGCAGAGGCCAAAGCAGTGTGTTGGGGACAGTACCTCGCCCCTCAACTACCAGGACCCTCCTTTCCAGCGACACGGGTCTCCACGCACGGCAAACACGTAGGCAGTTTTCTCGCCACTCGAGAACTGGAGACAAGGTCTGTTCCGGCCTCTCGTGACAAGCCCCAAACTCCGTAGAGAGAAACCACAAGGGAGAAGGGAAGGGAAAAAGTTCCAGCCAAGAGGAGAGGAGACGGAAAAGAGGATAGATCACTGGGGGCTCCAGGATCGTGACACCCGTCTCACAAGAGAAGATGATCCCCTGAAGGGCTAGGGTACCTCGGAATTGCCACACCCGTACTCACAAAAGTGAGCCCCTGAGGGCGCACTTGCTTGGAAAGAATAGAAGTTAACAATGTACTACTAATGTATGTTTCAAAATGCGTAAAAATTAACGGCATGTTAATATGTCCTTATATACAATGTGAATTGTTATTTTAAAAAGTTAAGAAGTACTGTGATATTGTTAAAAGTGAAAATGTTATACTAATGCCAAAATTTTAACTTATTAGGTGTGACTGTAAAAAGAGCAAAGTATCGTGAATATGTGCTAAAGGTTGAATGAATGTAGTTAGGCTCTGTAGTTAGGCTGACGCTACACTTCAGAGTTAGCCACTTTTCAGAATATATTTATAATACTTATATTCATCTCAGGGTTCTAGAGATGAATATAAGGTGTATTCTGTGGTCTTGTTATGTTGAATTTTAACACGTTAGTGTTTTGATTGCAGGCGGTAGTGTTGAACACTTGTACATAGACACGTTCGTGTTTGGTGTTTTCCTTTACAACACATGTCAGAGAGCACGGGTAGATAATTAAATTACGTCATGAATGAAATAAGAATGTTAAAACAGAAATATAAGCATTCATGTTACTTGCCATTTAATTGTGTAACATTTCATTAAACTAGTTTTCCTTCCAGATCTCTGGAAGGAACCAGATTTCAACTAAGAACTCCTGTTTAGATGCAGTACAGATGAAAATCTTGTCCAAGGAGTTGATAATGTAAAAACGACTTTTTTTAATTTCTAGTTTCTAGTGAGAAATGTTTGTAAAAGATTGGCCTCGCGTTAGATTCTAGAGCTAAAAGTTTTCAACAAGGTCGTTTTAGACCTCAGTTTCAAACTAATTAACTCTGGAGGGAAGTATCTAAGGATCCTAAGTTTTACTAACGTTTATTTTATTTTAAATCTTTACTATCACTTCTTATTTTCTACTTCCGGCCAGAATTAAAAGCTTTTAACTTATTTATGCAAATTTGTCTTGCTAACGCCAAGTACTTAAGTTGTGGCTTTTTGCCAAGCAAGAGAGAGGAAGGAGCTATTAGAAGCAGGCCGCTTGCCATAGTAGTTTTACTCGGTTGCTGGTTGCCTTCAAGGCCAGAGGTTTAATCCTCGTGATAATTTTAAACGTATCGTAGTGTTAGCAGTTCTCTGTACTACATACGGCTTTTTGTTAATTTACGGCCAATCTTGGAGTTAGGCACTTGTTTATCAATCCAAAGTTAGTTTAGTTAGAGTTTTAGTTAATATTTTTTATATTCTTACGTTCAGACCACAAGTGGTTGGTCTCTGTATTCCGAAGTTCCGGAAATCATTGTAAAGAGAGAGAAGTAAAGGGTTTCGTATACCCTTCCTGTGTGTATTGTCTACTTCCCAAATTTATTGAACATAGCTTTAATAAGCTGCCTGTTCTGAGTCAGGACAGTTAATGTTCCCAAAGCAAGTAAAGAGAGGAACAGAACCTGATAATATTAATGGCGACGTTTGCCAATAAAAGGGGCTTGATGATGTAGTTGTTCTTTGCTAGTGCTGCTATGTCTAGTACAGAATTCGCGAACTTCAGAGCCGTGGTTTGATCGCTAAAGCAATCGAGTCCAAAACAGCTGTTACTAACGCAAGCGATTTTAGAGATATGATTCTTGGGCGGCGAGCGCAGCTTCCCCATACGCTCGTCGATTTTATATCTCGAGTATGAAACTCTTAAATTTACCATATGAGATTTGGGTGAAGAGGACGTTAACTTACTATTTACTGAACAAGTGTATGAAGTTCTATCATACAGAACCACACTAATTTGTATTACACTGCAATTGGAACCAAGCATTATTCACTATTCGGCTCAATGTCTCATTTTAAGTAAATAGCATTTGATTCAAAAAGTTTGGGCTCTTTGCTCAGAAACAGATCCCAAGCAAGTTTACCTTATTTGCGGGAATTTTTAATATTGTAACCTCACTAAGACTTTTAGTGAGACGTTTCTGTAGGGCTAATGTTTTCAAACGATTCAAGCTATCTAAAACGACGGAAAAGGCAGATTATGACAGGCATAAGAACAGGCATTTTTTGAGTGCTTTAGGAAGTACCAGGAGCACTGAGCAAGTGTGTGTGTTTGATGGAAGTAACTTCGAAAGTGATTTAATAATAGTTATTTATATTATAAACAAAACTGATCTATAACAACTTCGCATGAGCTTCCACAATTATAAGAATATTTCTAGAGATTAAATACTAATAATTCAAAGCAGGAAACCAGCATAAAATTATAAATATTTGCATTAAAGAAATATTATATATCACTGCCCTAACTACAGTAGACCGCATATTTGAAGAAGAGTACTCTCCTGACGACGAAATAACACAGAGTGTTTCGAAACTCATAGTCAAAAATTTAAGGAATATTATAAAGCATCTAAACAAGCAATTTTCATCAAACAGTGCATGGGCGGGAGCAAACGTGAGCCGCTAGGAGGTATCAGTTACTGTCACATGAAAGAACGAAATACCAAACGGGTAAAGGAGGTACTAAATAATTTTACTGACAGCATGTGTGGCAAAATTGCAGAAGCTGCTCAGAAGAGAGACCGCCTGTGGCAATTCAGGCGTTACACCGGAGACGTTGCAAGCAGCGCACCTTTTTAAACACACCCGGTATTACTCGGACGCCGCCGGTAGCAACAGAGATCCTAGCAACTAGGTCCTTGTTGGAGTCGATGGGGCTTTCGTAGACAAGACTTTTCAAATGGTCCCATAGAATAAAGTCCAGATGGGAGAGATCGGGGGAGCGTGGCGGCCAAGGTGTAGGCCCACCCCGACCATTCCATCGCCCTGGGAATCTAGCGTCTAAAAACTCTGGTAATACCTGTTGCACATATATGAGGTATGTTCTGCTGTCTAATCGGAATGGGAGAAGGTATGAGCCGATCAAATAATCACCCAAAATGCCAGCCCGAACATTTACGATAAAACGTTTCTGATACGCATGAAGACGTGTGTCGTGCGGATTACTAGATGCCCATATGCGTATTCGAAATGCCTTCACGAGTAAAGCTGCATTCGTCCATGAATAACACACGTGCACTAAAAGTCTGGGCTAGTAACTGTTGCAAAAACAAAAGTGCAAACTCGACACGTGGCGCATAATCTGCAGGTATCATAATCTGCTTGAACTTTCTGCACACGGTAGACGTGTAATCCTTTATCCCGTAGTGCTAGCCAAACAATCGAGTAAGACGCATTTACGGCACAGAAAACTTCTCGTGTGCTAATATCCGGACGATCTTCCACTTTTTACAGAATGTCCTCTACAACTGGTGGGGTCCGCAAACTCCTGCCACGCTCTATAGCATGCATACCGGTGGCAAATGATCCCGTTTCACACAGAGACCGATGCAATTGCTCGAACATTTTTCAATATAGGACGTGTCTTCTTGGGAAACGCTGCCTGTACAGTCTTTCGGCTTCCAGAGCATTTCCATTCGAAGACCATATATAAAATGCATGTCTGCCTTTTCTTGATTACTGTAGATCGACATGCCTTCTGAAATGTACGCTAGAAATGATGATGTGTAAGAGAATATGCGCTTTTTGTTTTCGATTACAGTTCCGTCTAGCGGCTCATCGCTTGCTCTCAGCATGCATTTTATAGTGAAAATTGCTTGTTTAGATGTTTTCTATCACCCATTAAATTTTTGCCCATGAGTTTTGAAACACACTAAATAAAATTAATTCATTTAATTGCAGTGCACATTATTTGCATATGCTGTCTTTCCAGCGATGCACATAATTTTGTAAGAGGCAACGTTTTTAGAAAATGGGATTTTTTTTAATGTGCGTCAGATTGCAATGCTAACAATGTTATGTTTGCGCATAAATAAACAGAAATCCCGTTTAATTTCCTCTAGCAGGAAACTAAATAGTTTATATTTTCTTAGGTAAGATTTAATATTGTACATGAAAGCTTGAAAAGAACGATTTTATGCGTACTTACTTTCTGTAGGCCGTTCGATGTGACATACATAACATCAAATGAAACCACTGATCGGTAGCCTTCTGCGTCAAATTCTATTAAACCAGTCAAACCAGGTATCTGGAAGTTTTCCTAAATAGCGAAACGTAGATAAATTGTATCTTTCTCTGATGAGATATATATGAATTAAAATTGTGCAATGTTAATTGAAATGGTGTTTTGTTGAACGTGGACTATTTTAAATTATTCTACTTGCGCAGCAACGTTCTTGCTCATAATGTGGAAAATTTCTCATTCAGTACATAAAAAGTACTATACAGATTTCTAAACAAAATTTTTTAAATAAATAAGATAGCTGCTCTTTGTAATTTTTAGTGTGCTTTATATTCTAATTTCCTCGAATTTCGAATACGACCCGCAAATATTTATTTGTCCACTTTACAGTATCTCGTAGCTGCACGATTCTTTGCTCAGTAAATAGCTGCCATTAATGAAATTATATTTAATTTTCTATTTACGATCTTTCATAACTGTGAACACTTTTGAAAAGTGGGGAGTTTTTTGTATTATTTTACAAGTTTAAATTATGAAGAACATAGAGTCCATCAAAGACTTTGCATTGCCTTAGAGATGAATAATTTTATATTTGCAGCATATATTAAGCAAGCATTATAAGACATAAAAGAGAATGTTAGTTTCTGTGATCTTCGATTGCATATATAATAAAAAGAGCAACTTTAAAGTTATTTATGTTATACTCCGAAAAGTAGCAATAAATTTCTAATCCAGTAAACATAAAGCTAACTAAAAATCACTAGAAGTAATTTTAAGAGTTTCCTGAAAATATAAAATAAAAGAAAGCTCGAATGTAGTTAGTGGTGCTTTTCATTCTTAGTTTTACTTCTTGAAAATTCATAAAACAGCATTCTGCATTAAAGTTAATCCCCTGCCACTTAAAACTGAATTACTTTTTATGTAATTTAAAACACCATTTAATCCGAAAATAGATTTGAAAGCGCAAAGTGCTATATCGTCTATTAGATTTTAAGATAAGTTGTTTTTGTGGGAAAATGGCATTATTGTGCATAAAAGGCACTAATACTGAAGTAAAATTTCTTTATTATAAGGCAGTTACAAATCCGTTATGTTAGTTATAACAAACATTATAACAGTGATTATTTACATTAGACTCAATTAAATAAAATACGAAATTTTAGCAGTATATCAAGTAAAGGATGAAGCACATATTTCAAGCAAAAATATGAAGTTTTAACACTTTGAGAGAAACTTTTAAATCATAATCAGGTACGATTATTATTAAAATCGCACTTTATTGCAATAATAATCGTACCATTAAATTATTATTAAATGTTTTAAATCATAACTAGGTACTTTACTATTATTAAAATTGCAATCAGGGATTGGTGCCTGAATTTAAACTGTCATATAACTCGCATATGGCTAAAATTTTGCGATGTCAGTGGACGAAGCCAAAGTAAGTTTAACAGTTAAGCAACAGTAAGTTAAAATATGAAATTAGTCATTTTTTTGACATGGATCTTCTTTTTGGTAACTGAATGCTGTGAAACATGAAAAAGGATGTGATAAGATGAGCAATACTTCAAAATATTCCGATACAAAGACAACTGATTGAATCTCTGTGCAGATACAAAGACTTGACATTATCCATTTGTTGCAATCAGACTTTGCCAATAAAACTTTTAATACAAAAGAATAGGAGAAAGATGTAACATCTCTACTACATCATTAAAAAATTCACTTCTACATTGCAGAACTAGATTTAATGCGAAAAATATGAGGGATACCTTCGTGGAGGTCTAAGGGAAACTAGCTCATTTACACAAGTGAAAAATGCAGTCATTTTATTTGCTTCGGTTTCTACTTAGGACAAACTACTAGCATTCAGCGATCTTAGCCACTCGACTATTGGCTAGGCTATTTAATAAGAATAAATAATAAATAATAATCTTGAAATAGGAATAAACAAATGTGGATTTTAAGACAGTTTCTCTTGGTGTAAGCTAGTTTAGAGCTTTAGTTTTTTTTTTTCTAAATAGTAAATATAATTACATTATATTTGCATCTTTGATTTCAAAAAGTGAAAAAACTTTCAGTCAGCAAACTTTATGTATAGATATACTTAAGATTAACTGAAAATAATGCAGTTGAAGGTTATTCACGTCTACCTCTTTCACTTATCTGAATATTAATAAAGTTATCATAAACGGTCATTAACTGTTAAAATATTAAATGTACTATGCTCAAATACACTATGCACAGATTAAAATGTACATTTCTGATAGCGTACAGATTCTGACTTTGGTGAACCTATTATTTTACGTGAGATACAGTGTTCTCAACAACTTGCATTATATATTAGGCATATAAATATTTTGCTGAAAAATATATTCAAAATTGCATTTTGAATTTCTTATGTGTATAATATTTGAATTTTTTGTGCGTTTGGTCTTGGGATGCTCTGTATGTGAAACACATTACAAATGAAATTTTAAATAACTACCTTGCAAGTATTATAATTTATTATTTCTAAACATATCTCTTTTGGTTAAACGTATTGTGAGAGACGTAACATAACAGAAATCCTAAATGGTTCTACCAAGTGCGCAGAAATTGGCCTCTACTGATTTACTTTAAACTTATTTCCTTTTAATTAATGAAAGCGTAAAATAAGAATGAAGAAATGATCACTAATAATGTAAATAAATACCAATTCAAAATCTCTAAAATATGTACAGATAGGCTGATTCAAAAACAGACACTACTTGGAAAACACTGTGCACTTGCCAGAAGGCAAATACAGGAACCAGGATGTGTTAGACCGATATGCTACCATTTCACCCCAACAGCACAAGGATGGAATATCTTAATTACTTATAACTATAGAGTTAATTTTAGATTAAAAATTTTTTGGTTAATAATACGGTCCTGAACTAAATATATAAATAAAATTACGCTATAAAATAAAGAAAATCTAGATGTTTGCTTCATAAATCCATATTTCATACTGAAAGTCACTTTTTCAAAAGCATCATAATGTAGTATTAAACAAAATTTAACTAAATTATTAAAATAATAATTTAAAAAATGTATTAAAAATCTGCTGGAATAAACTAAAATTTTATCTTAATTTCAAATTAATTTTATTTGTACTTAGACATGAACTAGAAATTTCTAGCAAAATTGTGTCTGCACAATTACTTAATTATAACTGCAAGCAGTATTGTTATTTCATTAAAGTTAAAAGTTATTGAAGTTAAGCTATCACATTGATTTTGATTAGCATTATAAACCGGTGTTATGAAATAAATAAATCCGCAACATTTCAATTTACTATACAATTGATGAAATGATTGCAGAAAAAAGTATGGAATTCCAAGTATCTACTTACGCTTTTCATAAAATTAATGAGACTTGTTCCATCGATTCCTTTATTCATGGAATTACAAGAAACAGGTGGGATGCTGGTAATGTTCTTCGCCTGATTCATTTGCTCCAGGGCATGGGAAAAAAGAAGAACGCTGTCATAAACCAATGCTGCTTCTGTCTGACATGACAAAATGTGAAAATGGAAGCAAAATATTTTCGATACGTGTTAACAGAATCAAATTTTGTTGCACAAACAAAATAAAATAAATTTAAGAAATAGGAATAATAAAACAATAATTCTTCTCATAATCAATAAATATCCAATATGTTTTTTAAAATGTATTAATTTAATTCATACTTATTGTTTCGAAAGTAACTAACCGAAAAATATTAAATTATTTTGTGTGCAAATTAACTGACTGTATTATGTACAGTTTTTAGGTACATAGCTTACCTACTTAAATAAACCACTCAAGCGAATTTTTCAAGATAAACTACTAGTTTTATCCTGCTTCATATTTTCAAACAATTTAAAAATGCTTTAATGGAAAACTAATTTTTAGCTTCAATTTCTTAAGATTAAAAATTTACTATTTCTACATGAAGGCTAATCACCCAAATCCTATTTGGATTTAATGATATAAAATGAATCTTATTAGAGATATCAATTCCCTTGTTGAAAAATTTTCAAATACATTTCTCAGTTAAAACCTTTTAAGTAACATCTTTTCCGGTTCATAAATCATAATTTAGAAACAACATTTTCATATTACTACTTACAGAAAAATTAAAATTCAAAATTTTGTATTTAAAGAAATTTAGCCTTTTATAGCTTCTAAACTAATACTTATCACAATTCTTTTACTATTAGGGAAAATTTATTTAAATCGTGTAATTCTGAAGAAAGTTTACTGCCAGTTCTACGTATTGCAAACACTTTTCTTGAATAAGAAAAAGAACATTAAAAAGAATAATAGAAAATTTCTTGATATAAGGCAAGCATAAAATTTAAAATTTGCTAAACTTTTATTAAAATATTTTATGTTGTTAAAATTGTATTTATTTGAAAGCCTACATTTTTTATATACTTTGAACGCTGAACCATAGTTATTGTGACCAATTTCTCAAGAGAGATTATGTCGTGTATTCTTTTAGATCACCCTGCGGAACTTATTTTAATTTCCAGTTTATTAACTTGTTTAGATTTTCGGTTTATTTCTTGTTTAGATTTCCAGTGTACTTCTCGTTTAAATTTTCATTTATTAACTTGTTCATTTTAAAATAAATAAACAAAGAATATTCTTTTAAATAAACAAACTTCTTTCTTTACTTCAATAAAATTTATTTTTTACAAGAGAAAATCTGACGATTCTTTCAATTTTTCCAGTAATTTTACTTTAAATTTCTGAAGAATTTCCTTGGTATTTCTGCGTCCGAACTAAATCAAGATTACACGTTTCGGTAGACTTTTAAGAATCAAAATTTTGTTTTGGAATATAAGATGCAATTTAGATACTTGATAATTGCATTGTCCAGTATATTCAAGATGTTAACTTGCAATGTGCATCATGTGTATTAAATTCCTTATGCGACTTTTTCTTTCGCATTCCGTTGATTGCAGACGTATACTTATTTCCAGTTACAAAAATGTTTTAAAGATGCAAAGATTCATGTTTTTAAATTAAAAAAAAAGTCAGCTTTGAAACATTATCAGATTTAACTTGTACCGGTACCTATTAGTTGTTGGATTTTATATTAATAATACAGTTATGTTATTACTATATTACTCTTACTTTTACTTATTCTTTTATCAACTCCCACTAGAATGCAAACTAGTTAATATATTTAAACGCAGAGTTCTTCAATTCAAAAGACAGCATTTGGCAGCTATCACTGACCAGTCACTCTTTTAGATCACCCTGTTACTGAATTGCTAAACTGACTCTAGCTTCGTTAGCCGCAACTGCTTCATAAAAATATTAAGACCTGAGAGAAAGATTACTCGCATGTCATTTTTAATTTAATATTTTAATTTAACTAAAATATTTGTTCGTAATGTTTCGCAAGCGGTGGATATTGTATTCTGTTATATTAAGTTTTGTGTACGGTCTGGATGACGTGTAAAAAAAAAACATATTTTGTGGTTACTCAGAAACTAGGTTGGGTTAATGCAGTCTTTACGGTTCTAGGAGTTGACAGGTATAGAAGTGTGGAACCGTAGATTGAAAAAGTTTATATTGGTTCTAAAACATAAAGCACAAAATATTTAATTCCCATACAGCAAAAACCGATTGTGATATTTAATTTTAAAGTTTGGGACCAAATTCAAGATTCGTACACAAAATGAAAAGTGAAATTTTTGCGTTTGTAATGAGCTGAAAGTAAAATATCGATTTAGAAAACGATTTTTGATGTTAGCAGATAAAGTGATAATATAAGTAGAATACGTTAGTTAATGTTACTAGCACAAGTGCTATGCAGACTATTGCGAAAAGTATTCACCAATATCACCTTTTTTCAGAAAGTAGATCTTATTCGTAGGATCTTATACAATTAAAAAAATAGTTGTAGAAAATAGTGATAAGCCTCAGTACTGGCACATAATCAACTCGAACATTATTTGCACAAACTGTAAATTAAAAATTAATCTAATTTAATGATTTTTTGTATGATTACTAGATCTATAGCTGTATTTAGTACATTTAAACTAAATATAAATAACAGGGCAGGTTTCCATCTGCTTGTTAGAAAAGTTAGATTTTGCAATTTTTATAAAAATATACCTTTTTAAATTTAATGACAAAAACATTTTCATCGTTTGAAACTTTTTTGTTACTGTAATAATCTACGCCCAACGACTGCGAAAATAAAAGTCGCATGAGGAGTTTTATAAGTAATTAAATATCTAAATGAATATATGAATCTTGGGTCCAAATTACTTTTATTCCGACTAAGATCTAAATTTGTATAATAACAATTTTCTAAAATAATGCATATCTTTTATGTTTCATTATATCAGGAGGAAAATGGGATTTGGATTCATGGAGTAGCAAAATCAATATTCAGTTAAAATACTTGATAAAAGAAATCCCTTTCAGTTCAAGTCTGAGCACTCGGACTCAAAAAATCGTAAATGAGTGCAAAGATTTTTTATAAAATGCATTTAATCATTTGTCTTATTTCTTAAATTTAAATCATGCCACTTATTAAGTTCTTTCAGGAAATTTAGCATCTTACTGCAAATAATGTGTGACCTTGAGTGTTTTGAGGGGCTCATGGCTTCTTTGTGACAGTCTGTGATTCACTTCCAACATTATATTCTGAAAATCAGGCATCTCATCTTGTACTAATCTCAAACTGGTAATGTTCGCTTTCGTGTGCTGGAAGTCCTCCATATCAATAGTATGCAAATCCTGAAAGTAAATTAAAAATTGATACACAAACACAATAAACATTATGCCAAAAATAGTCACGTACAGGCACCTCTACTCCAATAAAAGACTATAGTTAATTGTAATGAACTCTCTCTGTTATGTCGAGAATTTCAATTATTAATATGTGTTTCAAGTTATTATTATTCTAATAGGAATATGTTATGTCGCGAATTTCAATTTTTAATATGTGTTTTAAGTTATTATTATTCTAATATTTTTATTTGTATTTATGTGTATTTTAATCTGGAAAAAAAGTATTCTTAAGCTCTTAAGGTTTTATTTAACTGATTATTCTTGAGTTGGAATTGTGGACAAAGGCGAGAGACGGTTGCGAGGACACACATCTGGTTTATGGCCTTTTCTAACAATGGAGGCAGTAGGGTATATGTGTCGCCCTTTTAGCTAATGCGTGTGAAACGGAAATCGCTTTCCTGTCGCTTTGTTTAAAGTTTGCAGATTTCTTACTTCAAGACAGTGGGAGGTGTACTAAGTTAGATAATTGGATGCTCGTAAAAGCTAGTTTCACTTGTTAGTTGGGGGGTCTGCTTCTTTTTCTCACGTTATGTGTGCAGATGTTTTTCGGATTTCATTGTCAGATTTTCTGGTGTTTGATTCGTCATGGGTGTGTCATTTTCTCAATTTAGATAACATAAAATTCCGGGATTGGTAAGATATAATTTTATGATTTTTTTGAAAGCCTATGAACTCACAGAGGCGGAGAAACCGAGATTTTACTAGGTGCTTGCACCAGGCTAGAGATTATTCTGTTTCCTGATTCTTCCAAGCTAAGAGTAAGAAGAAAACGAGTGGCGGTGGCTTGACCCCTTGCGGGTCTTGCTGTCGCGAATGCCGTGTACCAGCGGGCGGTGCGGACTTGAATTTCTGTCGGCTTTTCAGCTGATGAGAATTTTGCTCGAGTTGAGGACTAAGTGCTTATGCAAAATATAGCTTTGCTGCTGCTTCGTTATATTTTCCCAAGAACTTTAATTTGACATTCTCGAGGTTACCTTAATACAGATTTTGTTGTAGCGTTAGCATTCCTGATTTAAAAGCAATTGGACTAGCTGTGGAACTATCTAAAACTCCGTATTAATCCGTCGATGATGGCATTCTCGATCTCTTCGATTGGTGAACGAAATGAGTAGGACGATCTGTTGAACTATCTAAAACTCCGTATTAATCCGTCGATGATGGCATTCTCGATCTCTTCGAATGGTCAACGCAATGAGTAGGACGATCTGTTGAACTATCAGCACTCCATATTAATCAGTCGATGATGGCATAGGAGTTGAATGTATGGACTTCACCCTGTGAGTGAATTTTTTTTTCTGTCTTTTGTACTTAAATTGTAGCCGAGTAATGATACTATATTAATATACGTGTGGTACAACCGCCTAAATTGTGAGTTATGTAATGTAAAAAAAAATTAGTACACCTAACTTGAGTATAAGATTTAAAATGATATATATGTTAATTTACCTCTTAAGGTTAATTTGTAGGGGACTGATCAGTTTACCTAGTTATCATATGTTTGAATATTCTAGAAATTAATAAATGTGTTTGATATGTATTTTATGTTTCATTTGTTTAATTTAGTGTAGTTTCTGTGGTCTGTCATGTCCCTCCATTTGTTTGAGCCGGGAGGCTTTTAAGAAACCTGGAATTTAATTAAATTTGGAGTTATTGATTTTTCCTTGGCATAGGTTACTCACAACGCAAACCTAAAAGTTAGATTGTACTACCACTATACGATTGATTGATAGATATGATATACGATTGATTGATAGATATGATATACGATTGATTGATAGATTTACTATACGAATGTTTATAAGAATGTCGATATGATATATGAATATTATGAATTAGATTTTGAATGTTTTGAATTATTTTATTTTTGGTTTTTTTTTTTTTTTTTTTTTTTAAATTTATCCGGCACTACAGTCAGCAAAGTTATCATTTAAGTTAAAGTTATAATGGAATAAGGTATTAAAACACCAAACATAAATATTTAGATATAACATCTCTAAAAGGATTAATCAGGATCCAGACAACTGTGGTCTTCTGTCATTCTGTCAAGTTTGTAACCTTAAACAGGTGATGTTCAATACTGATGTTTAATTATGCTTTAAAAAATACCAATCACATTCAGAAATGATTGTTTTACAATAGTAGTAGCTAGAAAAGGGTTCACTGTTTGTTGTGTTTTGGGATTTATTCATTTCAGACCCTACAGCACTTTGACAAATTTTGAAAGGTTTGGCGAAATTTTATTCGAATTCGAGTCTTGGAATTTGATTCTCATGACTGAGTCGTGTATCCTAGACTAAGAGAACAACATTAAAGAATCATCCCAATTTCAGCAACATCGATTTATTAATGAATATAACGCATAGCAAGCACTTTCATGGACTGTAAAGATTAAAGAACAGAAATACTGGTGAATATTTCAAAAATCAGAAAGGTATGTTAATAAAACACTGATATGAGAGTGAACAATCAACAGACGATAAAAATTTGGAATAAAAAGGTTATTTTAATTTTTATGGCAACTAACGAGCATTTTAATCGGCCAAGCCTCTTACAAATCCCATGAAGGGCAGAAAATCTCGGGTAAAGAAAATCTTCGAAAGTGGAGGGGGAAAGCAGATCCTTTTCACTGAAAAATAACTCTTCAAAGGGTTGGTTCTGGACAGCTGAACTCCCACCTCCTTATTTTGGAGAAATGTTACACAATTTTCGATTGATAGTATAATCTTCCTCTTGTATGGATCAGCAAAATTTCAAAGTTCTAGGTTATACTACTTTGAGATCTTTTACACAGGTCTGGAACTGACACTTACTCAGAAAAAAACTGATAGAAATGTATAGATAATACGGAACGAAATAAGTAAATTTGGTTATGGAATGTGTCTGTGTGCCGAAATGGCGCATGTAAGTATTACAAGGCGCTGCTAAGCGATAAGTTCTGCTGGCGTAACGTTGCATTCCCTGTATAAATTTCAAGCGGTATGCATAGCTACACGAACAAGGAGTTAGCCTACATGCATTTTATCTATGGAGCTGTGGACGAAAAAGAAGCAACTGCTCAAAAGAGGCACTCGGGAATCATCCTCTGTATCTCCTTTGATTAGCTGCTCTATTTAAGGCGCATCCCCACAGATAAAATGCATATCAACGATCTTGGTATTCGTGTAGCAATGCATACTCTTCGAAATTCGCATGGGGGATGACGATTTACGGCGAAATAAAGCTTTTACCTACAGCTTAACAGCACCCTGTACCACCACAAGGCGCCATTTCGAAGACATATTTCGTCAGAATATCTGCTTATTTCGGTCTTCTCTACCTTCTTTTTTCTGTCTGCCAGTAAAATGCAGATAGTAAAGCAGTTAATATAATAATTGTTAGGATAACCATTAGATAATTGGAAACAATGAAACTTACTCTGTTAGAATTCTTCCAGCTCTAATTAGAATTTTTAATAGTTTTGCGTTCTACGGGTTCGTAGATTTGGAGTAATTGATGATAACACTTCATGACGAATCAAAACACAATTTATTCGCCAGTATTACACAGGAAGCTTCCAAAGACACATTTATAGTCGTCGAAAAACTACGATAAACACGCTGAAACAATCAGTAACACAGTCTTCAGGTATAACGGTGAAGACAGCTTCATGGCAAAGCATTAAGTACAGCTACCGACTCAGTCGATCGCTCTTGAGCTAATTTCTGGTCTCAGGTCACTACTACACTACTGAATTCAGCATACTATTTTATTCGCGTACAGGCAGGGTATATATAACCTACCATCAAGAACATTCCCGAGGAAAACCGCCAAGAATGCGTTCTAGAATGTTCTCGTTCCTTCTATGGCATATCCCTAAATATCTCCAAATGGGCGATTTCGCGCAAGTCTGGCAACACTTCCTTTCCCTTCCACTTTCGGACAAACGTAAGCCCGCCTTCCGGGAAAGCTACCTTAATGCAGCTGGGCATTTCACAACAATATGTTAACATAAATAGGTTGAAAAAGATTGAGGAAAAATTCTATTTTTCCAAGCTAAAATAATACATTAACAAAACTGAAAAAAAGATTTTAATCATATAAATCTCCTTTGAAAGAAACGTAGTAGTAAATGGAAGACTATAGAAGCATCCCATTAACTTTTCTGAAAGTTATATGACTCTGGAGAATAGGAATTTAGAACCGAAATGCTTGAAAATAAACTACACCTTCGCTCTAATTTAAGCTCGGGTTCTTCAGTGTGCTGAACTAAATAACGATTTAATCTTTACACCATAAGAGCACATAAAAGCAATACCTATACTCGTTAGTTCCTTTTATTTCAAAAGCAACTAAGGAAGGCCTACGACTTCCGTTTACCAGTCCTATTGGTGATGGATTATCAGGCAACATTTTAGTTAGTACTCCAGTATACAGAAGTTTTATGTATTCTTACGGTATTATTTAAATTGAGAACCACTATAAAGTATTAATTGATGTCTTCTACGCTAAAATTCTCTCATTTGGTTATTGTCAAATTTCTCAATCTAATTTCTTTCCAATACTTGCGACGAATTGAAAAGTAGACCTTTTAAGTGAATATTAAAAAACTCAAATTTTTAAGTCATTGTGCATAGAAAAACGATGATGATGATTAACCTACTTGTGTCTAACTCAGTTTAACCTAGAATCGACTTCACTTCTCCAGGAAATTAAATATTACGAGGCCGATTTCAACTCACAGTGGAAAACCACAAAGTCTCTCAATGTGCATTCTTTTTTCACCTTGTAAAAAAAGGCCTTAGAAGATATTTCAAGATCTATTGCATCCCCAAAGTGGTGTCAGGGCTGCTTAGGAAGTCACCTTGGAGGACAAGTGTTTGTTTCTTTAATGTAAAAACACTCATAGGTGCGGGCGAAAATTTAATTCAAACGTATGTGAGAAAACCAAATTTTGTAATTATGTCATTCCAGAGTTTGAAATGATGCCATTTCTGCGCCAAAGTATGTAAAATAACACAAAAAGAGCAAAATGTCAGTGTAAGAATTCTAAAATGTAACTATGTATTTGAAAATTCACTAGGAGTTGTCTAAGTCTGTCATTCCAATCTTCAACTATTTCCTTCTGCACGCACAGAAAAATTGAATGAAAAAGGATTTGAAGGTTACTATAGCTTACTCTGGACCTTCTTTATTTATAGTAGTTGGCAGATCAACACAAACCAGTCCATATAATTTTAGCCATGTTTAGTTTTTTAAGACCCTCATTCTTCAAAGAAATCTTCCAGATATTTTAGGGTATAAAAAGAATTGTTTGAAAGAAAATTTCTATATTATTTTTTGGCTGTATGCTCATCTTCTTATTTTATATTAAATTTAAATTTTTACCTTGAAATCTGGCCTAAAATCGAATGGCGAACTGAGGTGTTCCCAGACTGGGCTCATTGCGAGTCTAGGTCACTGAGAGGCAGCTGTATCTTTGTTTCTCTGCAACTCATCGGTGAGCTCATTAACGTAGAAAGGTGGGTCCACATCTGTGTTTCATTTCCTGGCTTTCTCTTTCTTCTTTTCCTTTATTTTTTTTGGGGGGGAGGGGAGGTTTGGTAATCAACTAAAATTGTTGGGGAGATTTTCTGAAGGTCAGGGTTAATTTTATCAGTTAGCTGTTTGGTGGTTTTTTTTTTTTTTTTTTTTTTTTTTTCTCCTAGAGCAGTTTTCTTTATTAAAAGCAATAATGGAAAAAGTATTGAAATTGAAATACGGAGTGTAATAATCAAATACGAAGTTTAATAAGAAAAATACTGAAAGTGAAAATGAAATTGATTCTCCAAGGTATATTACAGTAACAAGGCTTGTAAGTTAAATATATCAATATGCAAAATTTTAAAAAGCTAATTTGTTCTCTGCTATGCATCGCTAGCAGTAATTTAGATATTATCATTACGTCGTAATATCGCTGAGGCGAATTTTAGGAAATTCCTTAAAATTTCGTGCATCGGATTTTTCCACACATTTTGGATATATTTCTTATCATTTTTAAATTTCTACTTAGATGATTGACTTTACGGTACTTTTATATTAAACGGACTTCTGTTACCGCCAACAATATACGTTGGAGTGAAATCTAACTAGATGGGGCAACCCTAACGACACATAAAACTTCATGAAAAAAATAAGAACTTAATAATAATAACTTGATATTATTATTATTAATAATAATAATAATAATTATTATTTCATAAAGATTATATATATATATATATATATATATATATATATAGTATATATATATGTGTGTGTGTGTGTGTGTAATGTTTAATGTGCGCAACGCCGAATGGGCGCAATTTTCTGATTAAGGGAAAACAAATAGATGGGTAAATAGAAAGAACAATATTCGCCCTTCTGTTATTCTCGCAAGTGATTTGTTTTCGTTTAAAATTCATCAGAGATTTGCACAATCGTACAGTCTTGGTTTAGCACATGTTAAATATTGCACAGCTATTCATGAATTGATACAAACAGCCTACCTATCTAGAATTAATAGAAATTAAAAAAAAAAGTCTGAATACTCTTCTGGAGGGAAAGAGGGAAGAAAAAATACACTACGAAATTGTACAAAGTGACATTCTGTGGGAAAACCATAGTGGATAAATAACTTCGATGCCAAACATTACTTTTATATATATAAAAAAAGTTATTTAATGAAGAAATGTATGTATGTTCAGTGAAAGAAACATAAAAATGCTACCCAATCAAATTGTAATCTTAATTTAAAGTAACTGTGTTAAACGCATTTGCCATTACTTGATTGATTCGTAAATACAAATTTCAATTTAAAATGCGTAATATAACATTTATTTAGCTATACCAATCTTCGACAGAGAAATGTTTTCCGAAATTGTTGGTGTATATCGCAAGTCACTGAAGTTTCGTTAATTTTGAACACTTATTTCGAGAGTTTTGCTTTCCTACCCTTGTTGTTGTACCATGCTGTCGTGTCCGTAATATATGGGAGAATGGTTGCTAAAACCTACTCCAAAGAGAAATTAACTTCTATTTTCCACCTTAAATTTGAGGGAGAGCACACTGGGAGATGGTCATAGGATCTTACCCCCCTCCTCTTCCACCAAACCACACGAGATGACTTTCGGCTCGCCGCATATTTACAGTGCAACATGCCGCACGGACACTATACGCTTACAAACATCCATGTCTTCTCCGGAATTCGAAACCTTGCCCTTCGATACCGCAGTAGCTTTCCCTAACCACTATACCGTCTGGGCGACGCTTCTTTGCCCTGCTTTTAATATTACTGCTCTAATTTTCGACCTAATCAAAATTTTCGTTTTTACATGTTGTGCATATGTTTTTCAAATGTCACATCGGTACAATATATAATTTAATGAATGCCATATCATTTAAAGAATTTATAAGTATGCATCAAATAAAATTTTCTTTCTACTTATTTTGACAAATCAGACAGTTACAAGGATGCCAAAACTAAATTGCATTTTATGTTTTCAGAATCGAAGCTATTTAGTAAAATGTGACTATAAAACATCGTCATTTTTATAACTGTATTTAACCTTAAATTCTAATATTTCTGCCTTTTGAATATTGTTTTCACAAGCAAATTGATCGACAAAATTTTAAACGGTGTCGTTTGAATAACCAAGTAAAAATTAAAGAAGATTTCTTTTAAACAATTCTGAACAGAAAAAATGTAAAACAATAATAAAAAACTATATTTACAATTTATATTGAAATCGCAATTTTTTAAAGTTTTTTGCATACCGAAATGAGATTTTTTATGCTTTTTTAGACTTCTGTTTGTACAAGAGAAACCTCGAAATTTAAGAAACCAGACTTCCTCCATTCTATTTCTTCTCAACGCCATTCCACATTTAAGTAGCTCTCCATTTTATGTTCATTTCGCTATTTTTAGATCTTTTCTTAAAACAAAGTTGGACGGTTCTACTTTCTTTTCTTTGCTGTCGAAGTTTAGTCATTTAAACTAAATGCAGTGTCAGTAAACAAACATTGTTGTTCTAGCTGGTCTGCAATCGTGAAACAGCTTCCTAGTAAACGTTTATTCTAGTTTTTGGCTGTGGATATAATTATTATTTTAAAGATATTAACGACAAAAAGAAGGGTCTATGGCCATTTTAAACCCAAGTTTTAGTTTTATTACTGAAAATTAATGTACTTTTGCTTATTTTATTCTTTATGTATTGGTTTTGCATTTCTATGGTTTGAGTTTTCCTTCCACTGTTTTTTTTATCATTTACGTTCTGTTTCCCACTACTGTATTTTGCATTTCGCAATACTCTTAAATGTATATATATATATATATATATATATATATATACAAATGTATACCCACATAAATTATATACATTATGCTAGTTATTTTGTGCACAATTTAGAAGGTTGTAAATTGTTGTAGAAGGGTTAAGACACAGTGCCTAGGCACTCCGGCGTGTCTAAACACTGCTCCACCGATAGAAGTATGGATATTGTGCAGGAACCCTACTGTGTTCCATAAAAATTTGCAGAAATTTATCTGAAACTCAAGACAATGAAAAAACTCAAGACCTCTATTTGAACAACTTTATGTGAACGCCATTCACAGCTCAGGCAATATTATAAGGTATTTTCTCCCTCCTTTCAGCATGGTTTTGCGGTGTGACGGTGGCACACTCGGCGCGTATTCGCGAGGTCCACGTTCGAGTCCCGGAGATTGCATTGCACATTTTTCACGTATCCTGCTTCAAAATAACTTAATGACTCTACTCCCCATTTTAATGGGCGACTGGGGATTACGAGACCCAATTGCCATATCTTGGTGGTGACGAATTACTGCCAAACCGTTTAGTTCGGGCGCCACTGTAGAGTCATTGGGTTATTTTGAAGCAGGAGGCGTAAGACGTCGCTGTTATTCTTTGCGGCTGTTATTCATAGTTAAATTCTCAAATAATTTTTATCAAATAATTGTGAGAAAATGTGCCTTAAGTTTCGAGATTTTAATTATACAGTTATTAAATTTCCTTAAAATATGCTTAAAAACAGCGTTCTTAAGTTTGTTTCTTGTTAAAATAATTTCACTTTAATTTAAAAAACATTCTTATTAAGTAAAATGTGTCTCAGGGATTTAAACTGGTTCGAATCGCCAATGTTAATTTATCTTATCCACTTGGTCTCTGGTGAGTGATTAGAATTAGGATTCAAGAAAATTTAGCATTTGTCTCATTTGTTCCACATACATGATAACTTTAAAAAAACTAATATATCTTATATAATCACTCCTTAGTTTTGTTCATACGATTACTTGTATACAATTATGGAATCTGCCTTTTGTTTGACTTGCAAGGAAATGCGTTGTATGTCTTGTAAATATATTTAATATACTCATTAAGTTGGTAGTAAGATGCTACACCATCCTTTTTTTTTGAACTACTAGTGCTCTGACCAGTTAAAAATGCTAAAATATTCCATTATTTGTTTTTGCTTAAAATAATCAATTCGTTATTTCGAAAATTCGGTAATTGCGAGTAGTATAATACATCATTCCTTTTCTTCTTGCACTATCTGCCAAGAATTTTGTATGTACTTTCTATCAATTTATCTTTACAAGTTTTTCGAAGTACGTCAAAATATAAATGAAAATCTAGTAAGCAAGTAAATACTTACCAAGCTAACTATGAGGTATTTTTGATCTTCTGTCATCATTCCGACTTGTTGAGCCTAAAAGAAAATAAAATATGAAAAGCTGTACAAAGTCTACTCACTGTTTATATTTTACTCATAACATCTGCTTGATATATTGCTGCAGTTTAAATGTCATTACTTTTGTACCTTTATTTAAGTTAACAAGCAGTCAAATGCATGAAACTACTAAATATAATTAATAGTTTTTTCTGAAGTTTGGTTTTCAGGAAGAAACGAGCTAGCTTTTTTGCCACGTTTTGGTATGTATTGAAACCGAAAATTTCGAGCATAAATCGTGAAAAATGTTTTTTAGAAACTTTTCCTCAAACGCATTCCCCCCAAAAGACGTAGCTTGTCCTTTCTTCCAGAAATTCTTTATCTGCCTCTCTGTATACCTCCAGTTTTAATTGAAACCCTTAACCAGCACTTAACTACATCTACTGACTGAAGTCGGAAATGAATGACCCTTACACCCTGTAAATTCTGTATGTCACTATCTAGTCGAATGTTGAATTTTGGAAATTTTTTTTTCTTCTTAAATATATTTTAAGAGTTGCGTGATCTTTCTGTTTTGCCATCTTAATGTTCTCCAAAAATTTAGAAATACCTTTCTGTTTCGTAAATTCCTGCAGTTAAGGAATTCTACTTACAGTTAAGGAATCTAAAGCGCTATTGCTTCAGGGAAGTATGAGTACTATTATAATATATGGTGTGCTGCGGTGCTAAATGTAAAAATAAAACAGAATTAAGTGTAGTGAATTAGAATTATTTGAGCACCAAAAATAGTGACTTGGCGATCTTTGAATTAAATTATTAGCAAATGTAATTCAAATGAATTGCTTACTTAGTAAATCGCGTTATGTGGCAATAACCCAAAAAATACTTACAACGTGCAGATCAAAATGTGTGATCTAGAAGAGAATATGAAATCAAAGTACTTACCCCAAGTATGACAACTGTATGTTACCAAATCAATTATATTTTATTCTTCGCCTTTGATATTGAAATAAGCATTAATGTAAATAAAATTATCAACCAGACAGACGAATAAATTTGAACATCAAGCACGAGTGATGTGCATCACCAGAATTAACGTTGCACTCAGAAAAGTCAATCTTTCTCCATCAGCTCTAAACAAAGTCTTGGTGTAAAAGGAACAATCGAATTTTGATGGCAGTCCTTAGGCGTATTCGATTAATAATGGTATTTCTGCTTTTTCTTCTTCAAATCAGGAAGTTTCAGATCTCACAAACACGTGCGTGCGAAGAGTTCTCGAAAGGAGAAAGAAGCTGAACAAAAATTGTTTTCTGCAACAATGTATAGGAAACAGGAGTAATTATTTTCCTGAATCTTCATGTAAAATCTTAATAAAAAGGATTTTCACGTATATCACACAGCATCGAAGGAACAGCAAGAGAAGCAGGAAAAATGACACATCGCATCGGCCAGGGAGAGGACAGATCGAGGCCCGTCCTACACCCTCGAAGAAGGGGCGAGAAACCGGTTATTGCTATCTTTTTCGTTGTTGTCCTTGAGCGGTTGCGGATAGCACACCTGACGCTGAATAATGTGGAGTCTTGCCTGCACAAGTACCATAGCCGTCATTTTCAATATGGCCATTATTAGTTTTTCTAAAAATTATTAAATGAGATAGGCGGAATGCGATATTCGAATTTAAGCTAGAATTTCGTCTAAAGTATAATGAAGCAATTAGACTTCGGAATAATAAGATGTAAAACTGATGTGAATGTTAATAGCCTGCTTTCTTTTCATTTCGGATGTCAGTTTTTAGGCATGGTACTAACTACTCAAGAACTAATTAATATCTTCTTTCTGAGTATCTGAATGTTGGAAGATTAGTAAAAGAACTAAATCAAATGGTATACATGCATGATGAGCACCGCGGAGGATACATGGAAAATGTAACAAACAAAGCAATATCCATTATATTTCAGGCAATTTCCTTTAAGAAAACTCATCCTCTAACCATTGCATACCAATGAAAACGGGCATCAGCCAGCTAAATTTTCAGATATAACAAACAATAAATGGCATTCAGATAAGATTTCACATAAACAAAAATTGAATGAAATAATGAAAATAATCCTAATAAATGTTTCCTATTTGCAACTGGGATTCACAGCAATTTCCTGCACAGCACATATTGCTCTGAAACATTCGGTTTAATGGAGAATCGATCTGAGAAATTGGAAATGTCACACTTTTTAATGACTTAGCAATAATCTTAATCTTGATATTACCCCAGGAATTTTTCGCTTAGGAACAAACTTTCCTATAGTTGATTTCTTCATTCTCCTATTGGTGTCAAAGTGTCCACAGAAGACTTCATCATCCATTCGTTCTATTTTTCTCTCATGGCAGCTCTGAAGAATTTGTTAATGACTGGATCATCCAAGACTGGCCATCAAAGAGGCTGGATTTGAAATATCGAGCTTCTAGGTATGACGTCAAGTTTTGTTAATTGATCTGCCGCAATGCTTTTAGTCCTATCTGTTGTGTGTGCTATAAACTAATCAGTGGCCAATAAAGTAGGTTTGCGTAAAAGACAATGTGGTATTCTGTCCAAATTTTCTCAAACCATATCTTCATCACATCATAATCAACCCAACCCTTGTTATGAACATGGAAAATCACTTCTCCGAGAACGATTTCTTCTGGCATTGTTTTTAATCTGAAAATCAGCACAACGGACAGTTTGCTTCCCTTATCACAAGATAGAAAAACTGCATGATATCTCTTTTCATATCCATTTATTTGTCTTCATAGTTACAATCTTCACCTTCTTCTTACCAACAGTCCTGTTACCAGGGACGTAAAACTGAAGGACGACTTCGTCTACATTTGCAATTTGACCCAAATCAAACTAGAAAAAAGATGAAATTTAACGACCTTCTGCTCATAGCTTTTAGGTATCCTTTGGGTGCGTGTACGCAGGCTTACTCTGTCTCGTTTCATGAACCTGAAAAGCACCAATCGTGTCATCCTTTGAAATGCGATTTTCACGAGCAACACTTTTCAATTAATTCAAGTTAAATTATTTTTGTGGACACACAAATTCCAATTGCTCTTTGCTCTTCAATTTTCTGTTTATATCAGGCCATTTCGCAGACTTGCCTCTCATGCCCTTCATCAACCGTGGCATCTTTAGTAGTGTTCCTTTTTCCCGTAGTTAGTCTCGGATTGTTTTCTCAGTTAGAGGACGGCCAAACGTACGTTCAGCAGTACAATTTCTATTCACTTTTTCAAACTGGATCACTTTTAACGTGAATTCAGTGCTCTACGATATTCTTTACTGAGCGGTTTCTGCGAAAAACGTGACACATTAAGATTATAGCAAGATAAAACACGTATTAATGCGCACTCCGCGTACGCGTCATCGACAGTCTTTCACCCTTGATTTCATTCGCCGCCACTACGGCCAACGAAACACCATCAATGGCGTTTCCGTTGGTGGAGGTCCTACCGTTTTATACAAGACGCATCCAGGCTCTAGACATGAGATTTTAAAAGAAAAACTGAGTCTTATACATGGGAAAATACAGTAACTATTAAATACCACATAGAAGGAAAAATAATTCAAACTCTACTTACTGCTTTCAGAGCTGTATATAAGTTCTTCCTGGAGACATCAAGTACAATATGATAATTTAATAATAAATCCTTATTTGTCTTTACTGCTCGTTTGATCTGCCAAAAAGTGTCACGAAAACTGGAAGTACGATTGAATTGGTACATTTTGATCTTCCACTTTGGATCTTTGTTTTCCGATTTTTCCGTTTCGACATCTGAGTCTTCTTTCAATGTTTTTTCGCCTTCTATCAAAAATTCTTTCATTCGGACTATTGCTAAAAAAACAAAACATACTTTACATTAAGATGGCAAATGAACTATGAAAAAACTTTTCTTCCCATGCCTATGTACAAAGGTAGAATGAAACGTTTTAAGGCTGCTACTGTTTTTCTTTTCCGATATTACTATGGAATTTTGAGGAGTTTATACATTGGGGTGTTTGACCATGCAGTAGTCGACAAAACATCTAATACGCTTTGTCATGGCAGTTACCTGAATGGTAGAGATACGACTGCATATTTGATAAACTCTTGAGAATATCTATAACGAAACACTTGAAATTTAAATTATACATAATGGTTACCAAATGCCATGCTTCAGCGTTTCACTGATAAGGGCCCGTCAAGTTGGTAATACTTCTTGCACATGCCTCATCTACCAGATGCGTTCTGGCATTGCGGTTTCGGTGTTAACTTTGCACGACCGTGGACAGAGAATAAAGTATGTCTTTAAAAATAATTTACATTGCGTTTTGAGGAGGAAAAGACAGCATTTTCTCAAGACACAAAGACTTGGATCCAGGACAATATCGAGCTATATGCTGCTGTTGCGGGATTGACATCACTGTCTGAAACTGATTTATCAACACTCCGATATTATGCATATAGCCTAGACTTTTAGCCTTTGAGTTCTAGATGTTGTCAACGTTGAAAAGGAAATTTTACGGGAAGATATTCGGCATAATGAAGTAAAACATTCCGAGCGCATAGCGCTAAAGAAAATATCACAAAATAATCTATTTAATGTCTTTTGGATCATTTATAGAATATCGTCAAACACTGATGTCAAAGATTCAAATTTAAAAAAAGAAGAAAGTACAAGTGAATAGAATCCTCTGATTCTGAATAAAATAATTAGTTTTACTTGTCACCTTATGTATAGACAAGGATTCCAAATATTACGTGGATACCTTTAAGCTCTTCACACTGTTTTTACGTGATAACATGTATAATTTACACAATGCTTTTACACACGAACAAAATTATAACTATCTAAATAGAGTAAATTTAAAGTTTTAAAACTTAGTTATAATTCTCTAATTAGTTATATTCTAAACAAATGATAGAATTTTAAGAACGTTATCTTACTGTACAGGTAAAAGGTAATTGCACTTGCTTTTGTTGATTAAGAAATTTATCAAGCGTATTTCATATAAACAGGAAAATTATAACTTTAACTCACTCCCTTTGCTACCTGAGAATATAAACAACATATACGGCTGGTTGGTTAACTTAGAAACAATATTTTAATATTTTTATATACTTTTGCTGCGATCACCGTTTGAATTAACTTCTAAGTTGAAAGATAGTCGAGTCCCGCAAACTCGACATAATGTGAACTGATAGACTGTCGAGTTTCCGAGAAGTCGAATTTTACGGAATAAGGGGTGTGGTTTTTAGAATTCTTAATAGTTCGCGCTATTTCAGTTGATGAAATGTATTTTAACAGTTTTTCAATATTTCTCTATTTTTAATAAAATCTATAGCAGCATTATTTGAATAAAACTAATTTCTCGTAAGGTATAAGTCAGAATAAAAATATTTTTTGGATATCATTTACCTTCATCTTCTTCGTAAACTAGAAAGAAATCTCTCCATCCCCAGATGTTTATAAGATGGATAAAAGCGCTGCTTAATACGCTAGGATGCGGATAGAGGTTAATAGACAAATGATCCCTCTTGAGCCAGTAATCCCAACGAGAGTCAATGAAAGGAACTTCTAAACTATCGCAGATGGATTGCATATGCATGCTGACCAATTCGGGCAGCCGTCCGAAAACAGCAGCAACGCCTTTTCCTAAAAGTCCGCAACCTGAAAGATGAGACATTGCAAATTTCATGTACAAAATTGACATTCTAATACATGTCTAAGAAAAATATCTCCTCATTTAGATGTAGCGGATATACTAGAAATATATGTATATAAGTATAATAATCATGCATACATGAGGACTATTTAAAATCAGGCAAAAAGCAATCATAAACTGGCTTAGATTTTGAATAATATTTTACTGATTTTGCGTTAGATTACATATAGACCTCTTTCCTTCAAATACAAAGTTTGTTTTAGAATTTTAGCCAATCAGTTCAACCCCGTTTGGTGATTATTTTCGAACAAAGACAGTGGCTGCAATTATCATAATTTCGACAACTGGTCTAACAGGACCACTCGAACCACTTTGTTTTGAAAATGAAACACGATCTTTCTTAAATTTTTGAACCGTGTGTTGATTATGATAAAACATCTTCGTCTCGTGCTTGCTGCAATATTTGGTATATATTTGTATCGCAAGTTGGGATACGAACAAAAGAAAATTCATTGTTGCATACTGCAGTGAGTCAAAAACAGATTCCATTTTTTGCAAAGGAAAAAAATTGAGATCTCAGAGGAACACAGGAAACGGTTAATATATTTTGCTAAACAGCTAAAAATTTCCAATGCGGACGATAATTCTTGTAAATATATGTTTATTTAAAACAAAATGGTATGACAAGAAACATCGTATGCCGAAACATTTTAATAAAACCTTCGAGTGTCCGAATTGTTATGTAAGTTACTGACATTGTATGAAAATTATTTTATTACAAAGAAATATTTTATGATATTTTTTATAACTAGCAAGAATTAAAATAGAGAAAAATTAATATATATGAAAAAATATCTAGTCTATGTTTCAATATTTAGTACAAGATATATCCAAATAAGTTTCAACAATACAAGTACCCGGAAACAAATGTAAGCCACTGAATATATCTACAGATATTCCTTATCGCTCACTTTACAAAATCCGTGTGACCAATAGATATTTATTGCAAATATTTTTCATTTCGTATTACTATTTACGTAATACTACTATATAAAATATCTTTATTATCTAATGCTAGTATAACACTTTACTTTTTTGTATAATATACATAATGTTTTTAAAGTTTGATGCGTATCAAAATAAAAAATTGTAAATGAAAAATTGTTTTACTGAATATACACCAGGAAAAAACGGAAAAAACAGGTTTTTAGTCTTTCCACGGCTATATCCCGGAAAAGTTGCCTATTGCCTATCTATGCAAAATGAAAAAAAAAATCATATAAAAATATAACTTCCGTTCGCACATAACGTTCATGTTTCATTTGAGAAGAAACTTAATTAAGTAAAAATCGTAATGCAATGCATTTTGTTATTCTCTTTTTTTTTCAATTAAAATTTTCACAAAGAATTAAAATGATATTTAAACCATTTTAATTTGGATTACCTAAATCTAATCCGATACGTAAATAACAACTACCATATTTTGACATCAAGCTTGTAAAATCCTTCCTCTTAATTGCAATACATCGACACATTTTTAAAACCTTTCTCCAATACCTTGTTTTACTGGAATTAAAAATTTGAAATTTATTATAAAAATATACTATATTATTTATATATTTTTCTTAATCAGATTGTATAAAATGTTAAATTTTACATTAGTAAATAACAATGCACTGCACTTTATACCTAATATTTATTTCGTGAGTTACGTATCGTAATTTTTTGGTAAATCTTCCTCGTAAATGTCAATACTGGAACATCGAAAATTATGTACTTGCATAGGTCAGACCATCAAACATTATTTTTTAAAGTTAGTTTAAAGTACTGACAAGATTACCTTTTAAGAGGACTCATACACCTTAAAATCCTCAACATCTCGAATATGTTACTGTTGCAATAATAGGGATAACTTATTTATTTAATTACTTCCAACTTCTTGCAGCTGATTACATAATATAGCTGTTTTCTGAACTAGTAACGGCCCACCAGCGACCGAGCGGTAAGGTCGCTGAACACTGGTAGTTCGGTCCGAGGTTCGAATCCCGCGAACGGGCTGCTGCATGGGTGTTTTCGTGGTTTTCCCCATGTGTAAGTGTATACGAGCCAGTTTCCTTAGAAAGTCCTCCACGAAGGCATCCTCCTCCTTAGGCAGATAGCCCTCGAGCTTTGCCTAGCACACAACCACTAACTAGGAACGAGAAACTAAGTTGTATTGCCAAAATTTTTATAATTTAATATTCTTTGTGACATTTTTTATGCTTCACTCTTGTTTCACCTGGCGCGCACATTTTAAACATTCTGTTGCATAATTTAATTCCATATTAATATATTGGTTTTAAAACATTGAAAATAACGTGAACGCTAAAAATTCTAAATTTTTTTATTTGGAGTTGAGTATATAAAATGTATTTTATTAAAAAAGTCTGTAATGTTTTCATACATAAAATTTTTTCATATTAAAATATTCACAATATTTTTGGTTCAGTTAGAGGATAGTGCCCATATAAAGAATTCCAATAAATTTCAAGTATGCATCATTAGCCATTTTTAAAATATCATGCGCAAGGTGGAAACACCGTGATGTGAACGTATAAAAAAATTTTGTCACAAAGCAGATTAAATTACAAAAATATTTGTGTCAACAAAGACTTTCTGGTTACTAGTTCCCAATGCAGCTATAAATTACAAAAATATTTGTAGCAACACAAACTTTCTGGTTACTAGTTCCCAAAGCAGCTGTATTATGTAATCAGCTGTCCAAAAGTTGGAAGTAATTGCTTTTTTAAAATAAATAAAATATTTCAATTCTTGCAATAGTCACATATTCGAAGATCTTAAAGGTTTTAAGGTGTATGAGGCCCCTTAAATGAGTTTTAAACGATTGAAAATTATTGCGTCCAAAGGAAAGATAAAAATGCTTCACGGACACAAGGACCAGAAAAAATATATTAATAAATTTCTTTTTTAACATTTGGATTTATCAAAATATGTTAAATTTGATACTCATTTTAATTAGTACATATAAATAATATTCCAGATTTATTTCACAAGTCAGTTAATATAGTAAGCCATTGCCAAACGGGGTTACGTCATTAGCACGTTGGGCGTATGGAAAAACTGCGCTACGCAAAGTTAACTTTCTCTGGAAAAAACGGGTTAGGTGTAGTCCTGATAAAGAATGTAAGTACAATTCATGAAAACTTAAATATTATTGTATAAAAAAAAAGAAAAGTGAAACAAATGTCAGTTGAAAGGATTTCAATGACTGCTTAATAAGTAGGTATTAGATTGTCCGGAAAATAATGCAGGTTTTTAACCTATATCTTTAAAGTATCATAGCTCAACTCAAAAAATTTATAATCAAAATAAGCACCAGCGAATCAATGCGGTTTTGCAAGAGGATATAAGTTATTTATGCCGTAGAATAAAATTCGGAGTTCGGATGCGATAAAGTGTTAAGCATTTTGGTTGTCTTGGTTTCTGAAGATTTCATCTGCAAGAATGATATCCCGATGTTGAAAAAGTGATAATCGATCGGCAAGAGGTCAGGCGAATATGGGCAAAAGGGAGATTCTCGATCCAATTCGTTCAATTCTGTAGCGTCAATGCAGAGAACGCGAGCATGTCGGGAGAACTGCTCTTTCTTTGACCAATCGTCACATGCGTTGCAATTTTGGTGCATTTCGTGATTTGTTGCACTACTTAGCTGCCGTAATCGTTTCACCCAGATTTAGGTAGCTGTGGTGGATGAGACACCACCAAACAGTCACCATAATTTTCTTTTGGTACAAATTTGGCTTTGGAAAGTGTACTGGCGTCTGACCGCGGTCGAACTATTGAGCAAAATGTTACCAGTTGTTATAGAGAATGAACTTTTCATCGCGCGTGACAATTCGATCAAGAAAAGGGTCGTTTTTGTTGCGAAGAAGAACAGACGACACTTCAAAACGGCGAGTTTTTTACATTTTTGTTCAATTCTTGAGGCATTCACTTATGGAGCTTCTTTGACTTTCCTATAAGATTCAAGTGATCAGAAATCATTATTTTGCTTACGCCAAGCTATTCCGCAAGCTCTAGAACAGTTGTGCACGATTTTGTTTCAACTAAAGTTTTCAAATCATCGTCATCAACAGCTGAAGAGCGTTAACGACGCTCTTGATCTTCCAGGTCAAATTCTCCACGTCGACACTTTTGGTACCACCATTGAACTGTAGATTCATTAACACTTTTCTCGCCCCATATAGCTGCGCTGTCGCCTAGCTTATACTCATAAAAGTAAATTTTCCGAAAATTCCGTTTTGACATATAAAAACACACCTAGTAAATATTTATTAAAATAATTTTGGAACAAAAAAAAAATAATAAAAAAACTATTATAGAAATATAGAACGAAAAATAGAGCTTCAAAGTGATATATAAACCAATGTAATTCAAAATATTTTTGTTGCTAAAAATGTACACGAAACATAAATAATTGCAAAAACCTGCATTATTTTCCAGACAATCCGATGTATGATGCAATTATTTTTTTAAATAGCTAGTGAGTTTTGCTTGGGACAATGTGAACTTATTAAACGACTTGGGGTAAGCAGTACAAACTTTTCAGTGCCTTTCAAAAAGTGTACTCTTCTTTCCTTTGGATAAATTTTCATTATAAAATTAGACAGGTTCTGTGCCCTTTTCTAAAAATTCGTTTAACTTTTTATATGTTAAAAGGCTCTTTATCTTCATTACTATCCTTGATTCAACCGTCGGCTGCATTTATAAGATGATCCAATTATTCATTTATCTTATCATTCTCGACTAATTCTTTGTTTTCGCCTTCTTCCGTACATGAAAACTCTTTGCCGCTTATTGCTTCTGCAATTTGTACGATTTCATTGGCTTCATTTTCGATCGATGAAAATCCTTTAAAACTTTTGACAACTTCTGGCCAGCGCTGATACCAATAAGCATTCATTGTTGATAAATTCACTTGCTTCCAAGCGAGTTTAAT